GTAGTGAATACTCAGTGGTTCCGTGTAGCTTATATTAGACCAAGAATTTTTGCCGATTATGATTGCCTTAAATGTTTTCTGGATTTGACATTTGATAGAGAGATAATCAACATTTACTAATCATCTTGTTGAAGTGGTTAAAATTTATTGTTTAGGTGGAAAGATTACAATTCGTAGTTAAATGCTCTTGCTTGTTTTACAGTTTCCCTTGTCAGCTTATTCTAGTTATGACCACTGACAGGATAGAAAGCCTTCTTCAATCTTGGGGCGGTGTTTACGATTGTATCCTATAAGGTAGTTCTTAACAGTCACAAAGTAGACAGGTTAATTATCGTAAGTTACTTGATTTAGGCTACTTTTATACACATCTTCAGGTTGACTAAACATTGAGGAATAGCTGATCAAGAATATAGTTTTTGGTATTTATGTCAGTTGCTGAATGTAAAGCTAAAGAAAATATTGTTTTGGTATAATGCAGATGCTTAAATTACTCAAAATATGAGTTCTTGTGGGGCAGCCTTTTATCTTGAGGGAGGGGTGGGGTGATGGCATCATGTTTGTAGATATGAAATATTTTTATTGTTTGTAACGAAGGAAAGACTTGATCTATTTTCATTTTTGGTGGCAAAATGATGTGTGAACTTTTTGTCCAGACTGAAACTTGGGGTAATTTTTCAAATCGGACTTCTCCCTTCTCTTTGTGCTGAGAAATTCCATGTTTTTTGTTGGATTTTTTGTTTTTTGAGAGTTGTTATACAAGATCCCTCCTCCTCCTCCTCCTCCTCCTCCTTACCTTCAGATCAATTATTGTTTGATATTTATCTATCCGACGTTTACACTTAGGAACAGACTATGTACAGCTAAAAGCTTTGTAATAAAATGCTGCAGGGAAATGAAGGGTGGCAATGTTTGATATAGTTATGTTTATAATCAAAATAAAGGTACATAACAGAAACAGTTTATTTCTCTTCAGCTGGTTCCATAACATTTTAAGTAGCTTGTTGGAGATGCTGGTCTAATGCCTATCAGACAGGACTCGCGGACTTCCCAAGACATTATTAGGGCATTGTTATTGCTGTCTTATTCATTTTCATTCGAATTTGCTTTTAACCAACTTGCAGAGATACTTAATAGTAGAGGTGATAGTCTTTCATTTGCAGTATGATGTTTCTTAGCCCTCCAATAGTTGATAATATCATCAAAAGAAGGCCACATATGATGCAAATCTGGAGAAAACAGATCCATTAGGCATGCACAATAAATCCAGTAACCCTTGAAAACTCCCAAATAGAGTATTTCCTTCACATACCCAATTAGTGAACGAAGATAAGCTGAATTTTTTCAGTTTGTAGATAGCAAGCCACATTACACAAGGGAGCTGGAACAAGGTACATCAGCAAATTTTGCAGTTCATAAAATTTATCATCGTAGTGTTTTTTTAAGACATTAAATCAGAAGTAGACTAGTACTGATAATAACACTTATGAAGTATGTTGTTGGGGCAAAAGCAAATCCACCAAAAAACCAGAGTAAATTGCCGAAGAAAAGGTTATGACAACGAACATTGTGAATGCTGAAACGATACAACACATATGTTAGACACATAACTATTTCATTTCACCACGTACTCACTGAAAGATAATATTACTAACCCACATATATGTTGCGGGAGATAAGCCGAACGATAAAGCTGGACTTGAAATGCAGCTTCTTCACCAAAATGGTTTCTATCATGTCAAAGACTGGCATTGCATGCATCTGCAATTGAAAATATGATAAGCCTGTGACATAATAGACGAATAAAAGAATCAATTCTAACTGAAGTTATGTTATTCATAACGAAGAACAATGATCTCAAAATTACTGTGATTACTCCTGGTAACTTCCCATGACATGGATGACAACAAACGTGTTAGCTGCTGCGATATGCCATGCAGGTTTTTAAGGATATTGTCCTCTACTTTGTTTTTAAACATCCTGTAGCCAATTAGAGCAACTGGGAAATAGCAGAGGGCAACAATGAATAGGCTACCAGCACCCCTCTCCACAGGGTTTCTTTCAAGGCTTTTCTGGTGTTGAAGGGATTGTTGCTTGGATCTCTAACACCACATTGTGGCCGGCATACGCAAAAGCTACGTCGCCCAAGACAGTGAAGAAATCAAACACCGTTCCAGCTCGGCTAGAGGCCGGGTAACCATATTCAACTCCCGGTTGTATGCCCTTGTGAAGAGAAGCTGTCCAAGCAATGGTGGAATATCTGTATGTAGAAATACAACCAATTCTCATAATTTCCAATTAAGAATGTTATTCTATTTAAATATTTCTTTTTATTCTATTTTCCATGCAGGAAACAGAATATTCTAAAGAATGTTATTAAAATGGAGAAAGAAGGGAGGGCATACGTTGAAGACATGACTGCTGCTGCCAAAGAGACCCCGGAGATGGAGTTGAAGTTTGGAAGGTGGGAGAGGATGAAATGAACCAAAGTGAATATCATTATGAAGTAAGTAGTTTTGATGTGTGTGCAGCTACCACATACTGTTTCATGGAATTTCTTGAGCGACTTTCCTCCAGTGACCATGTATACTATGTTGACTCCCACTTCAACAATTAATTGTTGGGGTACAACAATGTAAAGACCTAGCTTTTTACCAAATGCATGCTGCCCCAGTTCGTGGTAGCAATCAAAATGTTTTCCCAGAACCATTTCATGCATCTCAACCATTTGCCATGAGGTGTATAGAGATGATCCATGAGAGAATAAGAAGAACCACACCAAGTCGCCTAAATTAACGTCCATAAATTGATAGATGAAAGGAAAGTGTTAATGAATTGTTTTATTGAATTGACAGTTACATACCATCCAAGAGCTGCCATGGTGTAGGGAAGACTCAAGACTTCTGCACTGACCATGGCTGTGATGTCGTGAAAAGCTGAGTATCACCATTTTGCATTACTTGAAGAAGTGACTGGTAGCCAATCGTCAATTTCCTTTTCCTCTTTCTGATTTGTAAGCATTCTGCAATCAGCAGAATTCTCTTCAATAATTAATTCATTAAAAACTTAACTTTTCCATTTTAATTTTGCGATTTATATTTTTCATTCTGCTTATCTACAAGACTACAACCTATATTCACTAATGTTTCATCTGTAATACCAAAGAAAATTAAAGAAGATGCAGCTATAGTTGTTCTGGTTTATTGATAGATAGGTTGCAGAATAGATGATGATCTGTATGATCTATGTCACTGCCTATTGAAAATTGTTGAAGTTCTAATGTCAGCTTTCTTTTTTTGATATCCAGGTATCCACCTTACAGTGACTAAATCATGGAGTCTACACCTTGGCCCCTCAAGCTGCAGACAGGTTAAACCGCAGGTTGTGCCCCAAACTGACCAGTGCTCAACAGCCCCCCAACTGATCTGCCAAAGTGCCAAACAAATCGTTTCCCATCTTTGCACATTGCCTTCCAGTATAGCTCCTGCCTTTCAGGATAAATCCTGCCTTCCGGGAAAATATCTGTCTTCCAAGAGCCTTCCAGGAATCGAATTCACGACCTCTGATCTGCCAGCCTTGAAGCGCCATCATCTTTGCCAGTTGGGATGTGCCCTGGGGGGCTCGTGTGAATTGTAATTCATTCTATAGAAGTGGGACCATGCCCTCCACCCCCCACTCACAAAAAAAAAAAAAAAATCATGATCTAAATACAGACTACGAGGACATGGATTTGCAATGAATTCACAAAAGGATAAGGACAACTGCAAAAATCGGTTTCCTTAATAGTTTTTAATTTGTTCCTTCATCCCAAAGTCATTAAAAGAATCATACATTGTTGCTTCTAAAAGTTGTCCGACCACTCTATAAATTGGTTTTGATTGTTGCGTTGGGACGAAGAATTATTGGTTTTTTAACAAATCCATACCCAAAAAGTGCCAATATGCCGTCATAGCTTCAATAATTCTTCATTTGACAACTTGTTTTACCTATTAATTGGTTGTTAAGAATGCATATCATATTGCAACCCTTTTCACTTCAATTTCGTCGGTATTCAATCATTGATGCAACGGCAATCAATATGTTGACCTCAAAATCTGGCCGAAAAAGTCCCGACCATGTCCTCATCCACCTAAGCGTAACTTGCACGGTGGAACACGCTGTTAGGGTTTAAAGGCCTGATGATCAAGTCAACTACCAAAAGGAGAAATAATGAGTACAAGAGAAAAATGTGATGGATTTTGGCTAGGGATTAGAGTACTTATCTTGACTGTGAAGTGGGCTCGTGTATATGTATAGGAAACTAAATGGACCAAAATGGGCCACAGTCATTGAAATCTAAGTCAAAATACAAGGATATGTTTAATTTGATTAGTGCAATCTAATTGTCGAGTTGGCCAATGTGAGACTCCCTCTACCAATTGCATACCACGTAATTTATACATATAATTCAATAAATTCACAACTAATACTAAAATGAAATGAAAACTGTGGAGGAGAACCTTTTTATGTTACAAGGAATATGCTACTTGTACATAATACGGTATCCATAACGGTGTCCACCCCCTCACATAGAGGAAGACCCACATTGGATAAATTATATTTTATTCGAAGTAGATCCCCCTGAAAATGGTGGACACTGTTATGAATACCCTGATATACTTATAGCATCACCCTTTTTGCAAATACATTCAAGTTTGGCACATCGAATATGTTAGAAAACACGAGTCGGCAGAATGTTTGGCCGATGGTTTCACATTCTGTATGCTGTAAGCCCGTGACATGAAAAAGACATTAGGCGAGTTCCCAAGACGACAAATCCCCAACAAAGCAAAGGCCCACCCTCACATCATTTACACTTTTCTTACTCCAATCCTTCCAAGATTTTCCAACTCAATTTCAGAATTCAGACGTAAAGAATACATTATTATATTTATATGTTCAATAATCCATATAAGTTATAACAAACTCCAGCCCCACATTAAATAAATAAAAATAAAGAAACTTAAAATATCATAAAAATGTATATATCTACAGCTGCAAAGGTACATCAATTTGAAAACAGCTTTTCTTCTGTACCAAAACCCACTATGGTTTTGAGTTTTTGGGTTCTTCAAGTTTCGCTTTTTGCATTTGGGGTGGTGCCAAATGTAAGAGGAGAGCTGGTACATAACGTTAGTAGTATTTTCAGAGGTAAAGAGTTAACCAATGGTTGCAATTTGTTTCAAGGAAAATGGGTGTTTGATGCTTCATATCCTCTATATGAATCCTCAAGCTGCCCCTTCATAGACCCGGAATTCGATTGCCAGAAATATGGTCGACCCGATAATCAGTACCTCAAGTATTCTTGGAAACCCGACTCCTGTGACTTGCCACGGTAAATCGATACATAGATGGTGTGTGTGTTTTTGTATGATAATTCAATATTTGAAAACTTCCTAACATTTTTATGTTGTTATGATTTATTAAGATTTTGAATTCCATCATTAAGAGAAGTCGTCCAAGCCCGTATATATTGATCCATATTTTCATCTTTATATCCCTCAACATGATTCAGATTTGATGGAGAGGATTTTCTTGCAACTTGGAGAGGGAAAAAGATTATGTTTGTTGGTGACTCACTGAGTTTGAACCAGTGGGAATCTCTATCTTGTATGATTCATGCTGCTGTACCAAATTCTAAGATCAGCTTTGCAAGGCAGCAGTCACTTTCTTCCGTGACCTTTGAGGTCAGTAAACACATTAGTGAATAAGACTCGACCATCAGCATTTTACGTAGGTTCTAAAAATCTGATTTTAACCCATAGTGTAAGAATTTAAGAAAAGTGCGTTTTTGGTCTTCTTGGGTGAAGAGTTAAGAGCACGATTTTGACTTTATTTTTTATTTTATTTTATTTTTTGGCCCAAAATTGGTTAAATCTGTCATCTCAGTGGGTTTTTACTGTCTAAAAATGGTAAAACTTTTCTACTTTGTAACATTTAATCTAAGCCAAACATGCACAAAATTTCATTCAGTTTTTTTCCCTATTTGGTGGTGACAGCAATTAATTGCATGAAATTATAAGTATTATTGTCTGTACCACACAATCATTACCCAATCATTGAGTAGTTAGTTTAAGTTGGTGTTTGGTCACTTTCTATTATTGTAATATGATTAATGAGACCAGATCCACCATTCCCTCAACAAAAAAAAAATAAATGAAATAAATAAATTGTAATTTTATGTGCAGGACTATGGCGTTACTATATATCTTTACAGATCGCCATATTTGGTAGATATAACACGAGAAAGTATAGGCCGAGTTTTGAAACTGGACTCGATTCAACAAGGCAATGCATGGAAAGGAATGGACATGCTCATTTTTAATACGTGGCATTGGTGGACTCACACAGGAAACGATCAAGCGTACGATACATTTTGCTCTATTTTCCTTTTCCTTCTTCACATATATCACACGCACATGCGCATGCATACTCACATCCATACACATACGTACGTACCAATATACACACCAATCATGCTTGGTGTACATCGTGATTGACATCATTGTTTACACTCTATCACATGGTATTAAACCATTAGACAGTTTAAAAAGTCAACAGTTTTTTCATCTAATTATTCATTGACAACAATGGTAATATCAACAACGATGTAAAAGTAGAGTGTACAAATGACGTAATCAGAATATCACTACTATTGCAGGTGGGACTATATACAAGATGGCTCGACCGTGTCCAAAGACATGGACCGGCTAGTGGCCTTCTACAAAGGCTTGACAACTTGGGGTCGATGGGTTGACCTCAATGTTGACCCAACCAAGACTAAAGTTTTCTTCCAAGGAATTTCTCCTACTCACTATAAGTAAGTAAATCAAGAAAGCTTATCAACAAAAAAATCACAAAAAATGAAAAACGCCTAAAATTTGATTGGATTTGAGTAATTTACAGGGGTAGAGATTGGAGTTCAGCATCAAAGAACTGCAATGGTGAACAACTACCATTATCAGGGTCGACATATCCTGCGGGAACACTTCCAGAAGTTATTGTTGTTAACAAAGTATTGAGTCGGGTCATGAAACCAGTATACCTACTCGACATCACAACACTTTCCCAGTTAAGGAAGGATGCTCATCCATCGGCTTATAGTGGTGATCATTCGGGTGTTGATTGTAGTCATTGGTGCCTTCCAGGATTGCCTGATACTTGGAATCAACTTTTGTATGCAGCTCTCACAACGTAAGAAGAATTATTTTGCTAGCTACAGTTTTCTTAACTGTTGAATTATTTATAGATTTGTTGTACATTGGCGGGATTCTTCAAAGTGAGAACCCCTGCTTATTTATGAAACTTTGTTTGGGATGTAATAAGGTTAGGTTTTTGTACCTATGTTTTTCCCTTGCAACTCATATATAACAGTGATGTTAATACAAGAGTTATCGCTCATTACGTCTTTACTTTGTACATGCTTATTGTCAATTTTTGACTCGATATGCAGACCTTAAGTTCGCAAACCTAATCAACTAAAATTTGAGATATGACAAATTTATGTTCTCAAATAGATTTGGAACGACTAATTAGATTTCCTTAGACGTGAAAAAGGATGTTAGAACATGTTACGGTTAATTCGAGCCCACCAACCAAAACTCCGAAATCTGAATTGAAGATTTTACTATTTTTACATGCCAAAAATGCATTAAATATAAAATCAGGTTAAGGAAATCTAATATTCAAAGAACCATTCATTCCTCATATTCGCTAATCTAAATTAATGTAATCTATCAGTAGATTTAATTTAGGAGTGTCAGATGTACACACACTTTTGTACAAAATGATTTACTTACACTCACAATGGGAGGTTGGGAACCACATGTTGGCATTTTTTATTTCATTATTCCTAGCATAAAAACAAATGCGCTCGGGTCAATTTTTTCTTCACCTTTCCAAGTATATCCTGAAATGTTGTTTTCGAGTATAAAGCCTTGTCATGCAGTACTCTGGCGGAGTTACTTTACAATACGAGTGAACAACTTGCAAGAGGGTGCAATTTGTCTTGTGGCCACTGGTTGTCCAATTCTTCATTTCCTCTATGAATCTTCAAGCTGTCAATTTATTGATCCCGGGGTAAGGTTGCCAAAAACATGGCCATCCTGATGAAAAAATACCTTCAGTACTCTAGTAAACCTGATTCTTGCAACTTACAAAGGTAAATCATTCCCAAACGAGCTTATAATCGCCAACTAATGGCTGTTTTATAACTCTTGAATAATGGTTCCTTCAAGGTCTTATGAAGCTGACTTCCTAAAGGGATGGAAAGGAAAGAAATTAATGTTTGTAGGTTACTGAGTTTGAACCAGTAGAATTATATAGACAGCATGCTCCATGCATATGTTCCAAAGGCCAGAACCACCTCGTGTTTCTAGAGTGACGTTTCAGGCCAGATTACTTGGTAAACTTACTACCCACTTATTATTGTAGAATCCACTGCTTATAAGCACTTAAAATCAATACCAAAAAAACACAGTCAAATAATCATGAATCTCATTGACTTAATATTTGCTCAATAATGTTTTAAAATATGATTTACCTAAAATTTACCGTTGTCGATGAATGGCGGACTATGGAGTGACCACATATCTTTATCTGACACTATGCTTAGTGGATATAATGCAAGAAGCAAAAGGTCGAATGCTTAAATGCGATTACATTCAACAAGGCAATGCATGGAGAAGAATGGAGATGCTGATATACAACAATTGGCCTTGGTGGACACAGACGGGAAAACCTCGCACTGCATGGCTTTAGTATGGAACATACACGATAGTCCCAGCATTAAGGATCAATGATAATGATGAAAGAAGACAATTAAGCATGATCCTTTCTCACCATAGCTATTTTGCATTTCTGAAGGGATTTCATCCAAGATGGTTTTATGTAACCAGAGATATGGACCGTCTTGGGGCATTTTCCAAACATTTGATAACTTGGGTTTGATGGGTTGATAAGAATGTTGATCCCTATGAAACAAGTCTTTTTCTAGGGAATTTCTCCCACTCACTATCAATAAGCACTCTATGATACCTTTTAATCAAAAATAATACTATCTAACACCAATATTATTGAATATCAGTTAGGAGTCAACGTATCATACATCTTATTAAATAGATCATAATTCCTTGTATATAATTGAACTTGTGATTTAATATCACTAAAGCTACTTCCTAGACTGGTGTTAAACACCAGTGATACTAAATAGCATTACTCTTTAACAAAGGGATAATTTTTCTCTTTGCATTTTATCCTTATAGAAGATTTGACCTAGAGTTGAAAAACACACTTGTTCAGAATAATCATGGACAGCCTAATGTAGAGGATCAAAGCTTTTTACTTAACAGCCGGGAAATTCCATTGCTCAAAATCACCTTAAATACGTGAAACAGGGTCCAGGTATGAGGTTCAAAATCAAACTGTGTAGGGGTGCAACAACCAAAGGATCAGCCTATCTAGCACGGTTGCCGCCAGCTGCAGCCATTGTCAACAGAGTATTGAGTACAGTAAAGAGACCAATTTACCTGCTAGATGTCAAGACTCTCTCACAGCTAAGAAAAGATGCTCACCCTACGAAATATGGTGGAATCTATTCGAGTATTTATTGCAACCACTGGTGCCTTCCAGGATTGCCAAACAATTGGAACCAACTTTTGTATGCAGCACTTCTTATATGAGGATGACTATTTAAATTATAGTAGCTGACTGATTTCAAGCAGGAACGCGTCGAGATATATCAAGTATAGACTAAGAATTCATACTCTCTTATGTTACCAGCTATTCAAGAGGTTTCTGATAATTTATCTTCATAGCTGAATTACTAGTTAATGAAAATATCAGCCTTGAATCCTAATTAGCTTGGGTCTGAAAAATTCAGAAGAAAATAAGAAGGGATCAAGTAATAGTAGTTTACATTAGAGAAAGGTCGCATACGAGCATGTAAAAGCAATCAGTTTTACAAACCCACTAATAAATGAAATACTCTGTAGACAATTTGCAAAACCATAGCTCCTGATTGAAAATTGACATGTAAAAACCAAAAGTCCAACCATTAAAGATAGAAACCACTTGGAGCCAAAAAAAAAAAATTATCTTTTTAAGCATAACAGTGCATGGAAATTTGGCAGGATTGAAGTACAAGGGGGAAGAATGGAAGAGGAAACTAACTTTTTGTTACTGATTGACATGGAAACTTAATAACCAACATAAACAGCTGCATTTACGATGTAACAGTCATCATTCTTATCTCCCATTTCTTCCACATGCACACCACTTGAGCATATTAGTCCACCATCCACAACCTCAACATTTGATATTGCTCCACTGTGTTATGTAAAAAAGGTCAGAGATATTCAATTACCCATGATGAACAGCTATGAAGAGAATACTATAACTCAAAGTGTAAGATACTTACTAAGGGAAAACTGATTTGACCTTCTCAATATCCAAAAGATGCTGGAGAGGTCGAGGAACTCCCAGCTTAATCTGCAGTTTCATCTCATCAAAGGAAACACCAGGTATAGACCCTGTACCCAAAAACAAAAAGTAAAATATCTCCCCACTTGAGGCAATAATTTAACTTATAAATGGAGATAACATCGCATGAAAATAATCAAGGCAACAAAAGCAACATGCAAGTATGTAACAGCCTACACCAAACCAAGTCATAATGTAGCACAGGCCTAAATAGGGACAATGGGTATATGATCTTGCATTTACAGATAAAAAATTTGATCTAGTTTACATCCTTCCAGTTTTCTTGAGGTAAAAACTGAATCTTGATCAAGAGCCAGCATAACTAACAAATTACCGTTGTTCAGTAAATAAAAGTAAAAACAGATAAATTATTCACATATAAATTCCAATTTTATGGACAAAATGTAACGCGAAATGAACTTCCTGCAAAATGATAAACATCTGATAAATAGCAAGCATGCTTCCAAAAATCCCATTAATAGGATCGAAATCTCAAGTTGAACACTGTAACAATTTAAGTGAGGAAATAGGAGCCGATCAGATTTCCCAAAAAAAACCATTTCTTCATGAAAATAGAAAAATGGAAGAAAGAAACTCCTACCATCTCGATTCCTGCACCCGGAAAATTACAAAATAAAACATTCCAATTAATCAAGTTCTTTGACATGGATTCAATACACATTAATCAAACAACAGTAAATTATAGTTGCTAGATTTCAGCCAACAACTCCACATATACAATGATCATGAGCCACAGGCCCACAATACTTACATACCAACCAGCTATCAAGGAAAAACAATCATTTAGGTCATGTATCTATTACATCACTACTAATCTTATATACAGGTTACATAAATTCACAAGAATATACGGATAGCCCCAAAAGATATCATTAAAACAACAAATATGAACAAGAGGAAATACCTCTCCTGAAAGCAGGGATTGAATTAGAAGAGATAGCATCCCTACAAGCCCGCATTGCAGCTGACGTAATATCCTGCCTGTTTGTCCATCAAAATTTTCACATCGAACACCAAACATAAAAATGTGTCTTCGTGTGAGCGAGCGTGTGTGGTGAGATGAGAGATGAGAGGATTGATTTACCCATGTTGATCATAGCCAACACCCATTTCCACAAATAGGAGCTTCATCGAAGAATTTGGCACGGAGTCAACGGTTTTCACTGCACTTTGATCACTGGCCATTGCCGCCATCGTAACTGTAATAGGAAGACGAATTGAAGGGCAGCAAAAGGAGGTCTTATTTGAATTTCTGAGTTTGCAATGTGAAAATTGAAAATTGACAAGATTGATCGAACCGAAACTCCTCGAAGAAGAGAGAATTGGGGAAATTGCAAAGTCTCTAGAATTAGAAAGAGCCGTCATAATAATGTTGGGAAAATTGCAAAGCCCGTTTTTCTTTTAATAAAAGTAGTAGTTGTTTAGTAAATCGGATTTTTAATAAATTTTATTAAAAGTTGATTATATATATGATTTTAATAATTATAAATTTAATTAAAATTAATAGTTGTTTTTAACTTAGATTAAAGTTCATATTTTGGGCCCCGTTTAGTAGTATTTTTTCACTCCAAAAAATTAATTTTTTTGACCGTTATTTCACTATTCTATCCTTCATTTTTTATTTTTTCACTTACATATGGCCCCCACTTTTCTTCTAACGATCAAAAAATCAATTTTCAAAATCACTGTCAAACGCCTTTTTAATTTCCCACCAAACAAACAGGGCTTAACATAATCCAAAGATTGTGCTCTTTCATATAAAATCCTTACTATTATGCCCTTGTTTGAGTCCCATTTTTTTATGGAGAATGTGTGGTTAAAAAATAAGAAAAAATTTTGAATTTGCGTGTAATATTATTTATTGAAGAATGTGTGGTTGAAATGATGTCAAATCACTGTAGAAAAATTCATTTTCTCAAAGAATGGGGATCAAACAAGCCCTATATGTCTTGATACTATATGTATTATTTTTAATTTTTGATGGTTTATTCTAAACCTTTGATAAATTCATATGCGCATTTGAAGTCATAAAGATAAATACCATAATGTTTATTTCTTGTACCACATTTTAATTGTACCTAAATATTTTAATCTATGCTCATTATAGTACTTATATCCTTAACTGTTTTTCATGCCATTATTTGATAACATTTTATGTCCAAAAGTTCGTTGAAATTACGTAAAACAACTCATTTTTTATGATATTTTAAAAACTAGTCAGGTTGATTCTGCATTGTACGTTATTCTAAAATACTTTATAAGTTATATAAAAGTAATATTTGCTACCAATTTGTTGAAGAATTTGGTGAGTTTCGGACAAATTAAAGAAAATAAAATTTAGTATATAATTTTAAGAGAAGAAAATTATACTCAAATTTTACTTTCAATACTCAATTTCTATTATTCAATATTTTTTTAATGATAAAATATTATAAATAAGCAATCTTTTTATATTACATTTGATACATAAAAATTAATTGTTAATAAATAAATTTAAATACTCATTAAAATTTCTAGATGCATAAATATAAATAAATTCATCTATGATAACACTAGATTCATATAATTCAAGATTCATCAAGTAAAAATTTATTGAATCTAGATTAATATTAATGCTAATTAATTGAGAATTAATAACACAAATTTCATAAACGACAATAATTTAGTATTTATTACATATCGAAAAACGAAAAGTAATGCAGTATTGAAATAAAGAAAATAAAATTTAGCATAGAATTTTAAGATAAGAAAATTGTACTCTCAAAAATCAATTTCTATTATTCAAAATTTTTGTAATGATGATATATTATAAATGAGCAATCTTTTTATATTACATTAGATACATAAAAATTAATTGTTAATAGATAAATTTAAACACCCATTAAAATTTCTAGATACATGAATATGAGTAAATTCATCTATAATAACTCTATATTTATATAATTCAAGATTCATAAAATGAAAATTTATTGAATCTAGATTAACGTGAATGTAAATTAATTAAGAATTAATAACACTTTCATAAATGACAATAATTATATACTATTTATTACATATCGAAAAACAAAAAGTAATGTATTATTGAAATAATTGAATTGTAAGAGGGTTAAAATCGTCCAAACAATGATTCCCTCTTAATGTGATACTTTAAGTGCAAAAAATAAAATAAAATAAATATAAATATATATATGAGAACAAAATATGATTTAAATCATCATTAAAAACGAGATATACTAATTAATAAAAGGTTAAAGATTAGCATTCGACAAGCATTAGTCTATGTGTACAAAATAATGCTTCATACGAAAATTCCAATCCCAGAATACTCACATGGGGTGGATCCCATGTTAGTAAAATATTACTAAAAAAATATCTATCTATCTCGCTATTGTGTGTGACCTGTAAAACCCCTGTGAAGGTACACCTGTATGACAAGAGGGTCTCAAAAAATAATTGCTACAATAAACAAAGATTGAAAAATTTAACTGCAACTAAAATATAGTGTAACAAATAAAAATTATGTTGCCAATATACCACCCTTATCTTTTCCCAATGCTCAAAGCGAAATAAATCCATCGTATATTTTAATGGTGTTTTGAATCTATTTTGTCAAACAACGGACATTTGCCATTAATCAATGTGGCTTGCCATGAAACATCCTTAAATAATATCTTGATTAATTAGGAATATCCCAGTCCAGTGTGTGTATATATACAAGGCAATTAGATTTCAACACACTCATCATCATCCTCATTATCCCAGTCTAATTCAAAAGTGCCAGCTGACTTCATCAGCTCCGTTAATCCAGTTATATCCTCCAGATATGTAGGATGGTTAATGGCTTCAACTATAAACTCCATCCCCCTGTTCTGATACTCCGATACCACCTGAACAAAATTAAATTTCACAAATGAAAGAAGAGACATCAACATAGCAATTTCAGGAAAAACAAATGTCAAAAAATGCTTAAAAAACATGTTTCAGGATCCATATTACATGATTGTTGCAAAAAGAAAGAAAAATGATCGATAAGAGTGGAGTCATAACCAAGAAAATGACCAGGAAACAAGATTGGCAAAATATACTACTACTGCTTAGTGTGTGCGCCAAGGGGCCGATACTTACAGTGGAGCTACATGCTGTGCAACTAGTTGAGGCATGACCCACAAGTGTCATCTGAGAAAATTGAGAGAGTGAGCCTCGAATCTGATGGGGCAAGATACCAAGAGGTTGCTCGGTGCTTGACGAATCAGTTGAGTTTGCGAATTCAGCTTTGGAGAATATCCTGCACAAGTACAGTAGAGCAAACGAATTCTGTATTTTAAAGTTCACAACTTTTGCCTAGCATTACAATTTGTAGAACTTACCCAGAAGGATGGTGCAGAATTCCCACAAGAAGTTCAACTGCAAGTGATGATGCAATAGGAGCAAGCCCTGGACGAGTAACAGTGCATTGCTGATCCAAGGTCCGATTGGTGGTTGACTGCACAGAGACCATAATAATCAATGAAATTGAAATAAAAAGAATGTGAGAAGTGAAAACCTTTTTATCAATTTGCTTTAATTATTACATCAACTGGAGCAACCACGTCATTACAGAAGTAACAACCCAATCTTTGTCTAGTCCCATTGTCATCGAGGGAGACAGTTCCCATTTGAGCAGATAAATCAGTCATAGTTTCTGCTTTTATGTCATGGTTAGAGCTCAGAGGACCAGCTCCATGACGCATAACTAGGAAGCTGTCGAACCCTAGAGCTGCAGTAATAGTGATCTGAGAAGAAGCAAACAAGTTTGTTTCAAAAAGAGTATACGGAGAAAACATGATTTCCTATCTGAAGTTGGAAATCCCAAACGAGATGACACCAAGGTATAATCAAGAAAAAACAAAAAGCAGAGGAAATATGCAAAAAGATTGCATTGGAGTAGCATGAGGGATAAAATTCTCAATCTTGAACTGAAAATAGGATTAAACTAAAGAGATAAACCTTGTTAGCACTGGCACAAAGAAGACTTGGGAGCCATCTACTTTCACGTGTATCAGTTAGCAAAAAGATGGCATCATGAGAATCAATCAAACTGAGCAGTCGTCTGCATTCCTCAATAACACTATTTTCTTCCTGGCAAGGTACAGCATGCCCAGGCATTGGAATGGACATCACAACACCTTCTGCTTCCTGAGAAAAAAAAGTGATTATAATTCACATCCAATTGTTGAACAAATAAAACCAATAAATATATTTAGGGAGAAACTACTTACAACTGCAGGGAAGATTCGTTTAAGACTCTCCACTGCTGCTGTCACCTTGTATTCACCACCATTCAAGCAGTTGTCCAAGGTATACAGGGACTGCCGCAGTGGATTAGACATAGCCACCTTGCCACTATCAAGCAGGGTAATTTTCCTGACACCCCATGCCTGCAAAATATAAGCTTTTGATTACCCAGCCCAACAATGATACAATTTTAACCAAGAGTCTTGAATGTTCAAATGCTAACCATAAGCATTCGAGCAACTTGGCATCCAAGTGTGCCAGCTCCAAGGAGAAGGCATTTTGCCGAAGACAAGATATTGAGGTTTAATGAAGGCAAGGCACGCCATCTCATTAGCTTCAAGTTCAGATCTGCAGCTGATATGGCCAACCTGTTAACAATGAGCCACGAAGCACTAAGGAAAATACCAACAATAGTGTTCTAGATGAAGTGATAATTTATAGAAGATACCTAGTTGGATCCATATTGTTAGCAAGGCTGATAAACCTTGGAACCTTTCTTCCTCTGCTACTTTCCCAACCCACAGCATTTGGCATTTTATGATTGGTTTTCCAACCTAAATGAAGTTCACATTTTCAGGAATCCCTGATCATATAATAATTTCAATTACCTATGTAAGAAAAGTGAAATCACGAAAAGAGTATGTTCCTCAATTACTCTACTCTACCTTGTGAATTTGTTATCAATGCTTCACCCACCAAGGAAAGTCCCAGATCCGCAAAACCACGGTTCTCGCGGTAGCATAAAAATGGAACTTTCTCAAGACCCCATCTTACATGAATATATAATAGGAAGTTTCGAAGAGGCCAACCAGGATTATTTGGAAGATGACAAGGGTCATAAAATCCAAAGAGGATCTGCATGGAATATAGACATGCGTTCATGTAAGTTATATGTTTCTTCCATTATGATCATTCGAAGCTAATATAGAGTTCCATTTGTTTATAATAGGACTTCAGTCATTTTAATTAATATATAATACCATAATCATATAGATATAGGTTTCCTAATATGTAAGTGGTATTATATTGACGTACTTTATGACCATTACTTCGGCAGTCGTCAAAGTCAATCAAATGCCTAATTGTAGCAATTGAGTTCGAATCAATAGAAACCAGGAAGAATGGAATATCTGCAAGAGAATAGAGGATTTGAACCACCAATACAAAGAAAAACATTGACAACGGATTAATGAATACTCACGAAATCTTTTACCTGTAGTTGAGGACAAGTTACGCCACTCATTACAAGCAGCCGCTAGGGACTCAGCCTATAAGCCACAACAATATCTTTTAAATTTAAAGCAATGCATCATTGAGCAGTTAAAAGTATTCTCATTATTCTTAATATTGGTATCACCTCTTCTAAGCTAAACCAGTGGGAAGCTGGCTTCAAAGTAACCAGGGTTGCAGGAGGATCAAGCATTAGAGCAGGGAAAGCAAACCAGTAACGAAAGCTCCATTTCTTTAAGTCTGCATATGAAATAACAAGGAATCTTAAAAGAATTCTGCTATCCTCGTCAGCTTTTCCCGAATGAATGTCCTCCCAGATCTGACATTTAATGAGAAATAAGGTGAAATGAGATGCATATCCACCACCTCGGTAATCCACCTTTTATCTGGTTACACTAGTAGTTTCAAGTACGGCATGGAGAGTATCCCAAACAATTGAAAAGTTTATTACTTAGAATATTGTAAGAAACAAATTGTTTATCGAATAGGACAACTAAGCTACCTTCTCCGCTTCTGCCTTAAGTAAACTCTGCTTGTCAAGAGCCTGGAAGCCTTCATATGTATTTGTATTATAGAGAATGCCAGGGACATAACACCTATTCCTATTCCCACGGCTTAGTTCTTGCATCGATGATTGTTCACTTGATTCGGTAGGTAAAGATTCGGCAAGAAGAGTTAAATGATTTGACACTTGATGATGTGAGCATGGTGCAAAACAACCTGACATGAAATCAGAAGAAACAATACTATATGATGTGATGCTTTTTATTCATCAGGAGTGAAATCAGAGATGGGAAACAAAGAAATACAAGAAATATAACAATAGCAAAGATTTAAGACCAGTTCATGGTTGGCAGACCACTTGTTTTTATGCTCCCATTATTTCATTGTGTTTGCACTGTAGTTGATATAGCCCCATCAAAACAATCCACAAAAAAAGTGTAAAAATTATGGTTGCATATCATATTATTCAGTACCTATATATGGATAACGGGGCATGGAATGCATATTGTGAACTTCGACAATTATCAAAGAGCCAAACAAACCTAGATTAAGAGATAATTGAGCATGTCATGACCTTGTTAGGATCTCATACAAGACTTTATGTCCGATTGCTCCCTCTCTCTCTTTTCTTTTAATGCTAAAAACAGCCTCTAACCATATGGAACCCTTCTAGGAACCTTAGTGTGCCACACTCTCACAAAAATATTTTCATTACCCAATAGTCAATGCCATCCTTTTATCACATCACCCATTATTGTTTATGTCAAAATTACATATAGTCCTTGTTTGATGGGGATTAAAATCAAATTTTTAGCAAATTTTGATAAAAGTTAATAAAATGTGTGGCTGAAAAATTGTGCGTCCCATAAAATATGTGGTTAAAATTAATTGTTGTCTTTGAATTTGATTAAAATCTAGATTTTAATCCCTACGAAATAGGGGCATAATAATGTTTCTTATAAATTTTCAAACGACGTTACATTTGCTCCAAGATTGACAAATACGAAAGGATGTCCAAGAGAATTTAAGGCTTTCAGGCCTTGGCAAAGCACTTGGGCCCAGCCCTGGGCCTCCAAAAAAAAAAAAAAAAAGGCACCAATATTCAACCTATGATATGAATTATTAAGCATGGCAGAGAGATTGTCAGGTACTGAATATGTCGTTTGAGTATTCATTTTCACTATATTAACTTATTCTCTCTTATGCTTATACGATGGGTGAGTATCTGTGTACTTTACTTAACTTTGCGACTTTTGTTTTTAATTAATTTGAATCCTTATATTCGTTGTCCAAATGGTCCTCCACAGTATTGTAGCCAAACTGTATATGAGGATACAACACCTGACCTGTTGAAGGACAATAAGCTTATCCATGTGGCAATTATAATGAGGGCTAATAATTAGCTTCAGATGAAGTGCGACAATATGCTTATCCATGTGGCAATTAGAGAAGAATGCCCTATCATGGTTCATTGGATAAGGAAGGTTAGAAACTGGAACCAACCGTAGCATGGGCTTATATATGTTATTTTGCTTAAGAAAATTTGTTCTTATAGCTTCGATTCTTTTGTGCAGTTACATTTTTTTCTGCAACAACAGAGAATACATTACAGGCCGTCGAACATGGGAGGCTGAAAGATCTTATCATTGTATTAGAAAGGTATGGAATTATTTGCAATAATTGAGTCGGAAACCAAAAATATACCTTTATGTTGTTCTTTTGTACTTTTTGTTGGTTGTTTTCTCCCCTCGAAGGATAAAAACAGCTAATGAAGATAATAAATCTCTCTTCTAGTAATGCCTTCCTCCAAAGCTTAAAACCTTGATGAAGTTAGATTTCTACGATCAAATCTAACACATCTTGTTCCTCGACCAGGGTCCCTGTCCTTCTGTTCAAACTAAGATGTGTTGATCTATACTACTCGAGTTTGTACATTTAAGCGGGTAAGAAATTTATTCTTTTATGGGAACTTTTTTGTATGTTTTTCCGTATGAATGGCTATATAGAGGACAGACAAACCTATGGAATTTGTGTTGTTCTTAGAAGTGGATAAGAAAAAATTGTTTTGTCCATGTATACACTACTTATTAGTAAGTTCTGATTTTATCTAATATTGTAAGCATAGATAGAGTATTTTCATTCTTGACATCCTTCTTACATATGGAACAGTGGAATCAAGGAAAAAGAGAAGGTGAACTGTCTACTTGTTAGGTAATACCCTGCCTCTGTTGCCTCCACCAAAAGAAGTTTTTCGAAGTTGAAGTTTATTAAGTCTTATCTTCGATCAACCATATTACAAGAGAGTTGAGTTGATTAGTTATGATTTCTATTGAAAATCATATGTTGGAAAAACTTGATTAGAATAGTTTGATTACTAAGCATCTAAAAATTGTGAGAGATAAAAAATATGTCTTTTGAATTGTACAAAGTTTTGTTTATATACAAATATATTATTTATTTAAATATCTAAGAATTGCTACGCTGGTTAAAAAGAAAAAAAAAAAAAAAAGCATTATCTTTAAGGGCTTTGTAATAATTAGTCACCTAGGGCATCAAAATTCTCAAGACCGGCTCTAAAAGCAATGTTAAAATTTATGCAAACACCCTGTACCTAAGAGCTTCCATTTATATTTTATTCATCAATTTCGATACTATAATTCACAAACTTCATAACTCTGGTTAATACATTCATTCATGATGCAATTATTGACAATATCATATTTCATAAATGGAAAACACACATTTTTCCATCACTTTCTAGTTTACACTACCCTGCCTCCATCAGAGGAAACATCACCAACACATAGATCCACAGATGAGACAGATCAGTATGAACCCTTTCTCTCTAGCTTAAGCTAAACCCTACTCTTGCAATGTGTGCAAGCATACCCTAGGGCGAAGCATGATTTGTGATATATTCAGTTTAATCTTTACCTGGTTACCAAGACAGAGAATAAGCCTAAAATATCGCAAGATGCAAAATTCCCTCCAACAAATTGCAACCTTCTAATGACAGGCTATAAACAGCAAAAAGCAAGGAAGACTTCTAGGCATGCAAATGTAAGTGAAACGTAAGACAGTTTACCAGTTATTGGTATTGGAGACTCATCGAGTCCTAGCTTGTTGAGCTTTAACGAAGACAACCTATGCCAAAAACCCTCATCCACGGCACTCTGAAAGGGTGCAAATTGAAGAGTGGCTTCCTTCCCATGGTCCACCATTCTGGCCGGTCTGATTTTCTCTCCAGTTTAATTTAGTTTAGGTGAAGAAAGGTTCCTCCAGCAAAAATATCTGATAAAACATGAATAAAAGCATAAACATAATTTAGAACTGACAAGAAAGAATCCAAATCCGTAGCCAGACGAGGTACAACACATTAGGCTCGGGAGTTTATGTGAAACATGATAATAACTTCTAAGAACTTAAAATCAAATTCTTAAACCAGTAAAAATTGAATGAAAATAATTAATATCTAACCAAGTGACGGTAATCTTGAGTTCCAAAAACTATTTCAGCTCATATTGAAGGCATATTACATCATCACTTCAAGAATGGTGAACGCAACTATACGACAAACTACCGTCTTCGATATATGACTCAAGACTCGAGATTCTGGTAAATTTACCCAAAACCTACAGACTCAGATAGGAAATTAAGAGGAAAAATCGATGCAACGTCTTGTAATTCCATAGCTTAATTCAAAAAAAGAAAGTTTGCCTTTGATTATGCATTGAATTCCCAAAAAAGAAATACATAAAATTGAGAAAGAGATGCGGGTACCTTACGATGGTTCGGATGCCGTTAAGGTTAGTTCCAGAGTTAGTCAAATACAGATGGGGCAATCGATTTTCATTTTTTCCGTTTAAAATGTTATCGAAAACGGACCGGAAAGTCCGGTTCTAACTGAAACCGGGGCCCAGCCGGTTTAAGAAATCTAAGCCCCCTTATTGAGCCACATTATTGTAAAAATGAAAATGAAAAATATAGTCGTTATGGACTCCACACAAGAAATAAAAAGTTAAATATAGTGACTTGCTGTGATGGATAACGATCATATTTTCTATTTTAATGAGAAAATAATGAGGCTCAAACATGATATATCACTTAAAATGAAAGATTCTAAATATAAACATTACAATAAAAATATATTTGTCTTGATACAAGCTTAAACAAATAATAAGCTTGTGAAAATTTACTCTTTTTCAAATAGATAGATAAGAATTTGAAGCATAAAATGAAGTAATAAATAATATATTCCGGATAAAACAAGTAATTCTTAATATTAAATTGACTGAACGTTTTGTTTTGATTTGGTTTTTAACGCCTTTTAACAATCTAAACCTAAATTAAACATTTTCCAAAAGGTTTGGTTCATTTTTGAGCTATCGAAAATAACATCACGTTGATCCAATTACCGAATCCAAAACTGCAATTTCAATTCGATTTGACAAGTTGATGATGTTTTGTTCATCCCCATTGCTAAGGGTTAAAAGGTTAATATTGGCATTTTAAAGAAAACTTGATTTGTTTGACTAAAATGTTTAGTATATATATAATAGTTATTATCTTTTTTAATCAATTTGGTAAAATCTATATTTCTTTGAATTTAAGATTAATTTTTACTTTTGGTTCAATTTCGATCTAACCTGGTTCGACTTGTTGACCTTTTACACTCTTTTTTCGAAGTTAATATCCAGATTGAATTTAAAATATTTTTATTTCTTTGGTTTTAAGACCAAAACACCAGTCCAAAGACTAGCGGCAGGTTATCTAACAAACTTTGTTTAAAAACATTATTTCAATTTAAGCTATATTTTGTTCAAGGATAAGTAAATGTTCAAATTTAAGGGTATATATGAAATTGAGCTGAAAAATCGATGCAACATCTTGGAATCCATAATTTAGCCCAAAAATAATAAATAAATAATAAATAAATCTTAGAATTGAGAAAGAGACTCGAATACCTTACGATTCCTCGTATGCCATTAAAGTTAGTTCCAGAGCTAATCAAATACAAATGGTTCAATTCTAACTGAAATTGGGGCTTAGCCAAAAATCGATGGACTTTGGTTAAAATTTGAGAGTATCTGATAAATGTATAATGTACATTTTGATCATTTTCGTTCTTTTTTCAGTTCTTTGCATTTTTTTTATGCATTCAATTGACTCCTAGAACTCTCCAATCATCAATATACCAATGGAATAAACTTTTTAAAGTTTACATTGTAGTCCCTAAACTTTAAAGTTTACATAAATGTATAATGTACACTTATCTAGACCATTAAATTATATAAATTATTATTGATTTTGATGAATTGTGTCTTAATTCAATAAATATTTCGTTCTTTGGAGAAACTTGATGCAAAATTATGGAATTGGACGAAAGAAGTGAAATGGGCCAAAATAGAAGAAACTAAAGTTTAGGGACTACAATGTAAACTTTAAAAAGTTTATTCCATTGGTATATTGATGATTGGAGAGTTCTAGGAGTCAATTGAATGCATAAAAAAAATGCAAAGAACTGAAAAAAGAACGAAAATGATCAAAATGTACATTCTAAAAAGTTTAGGGACCAAATTGTAAATTTAATCCTAAAGCACCATATCGGGCGTAGTAAGCCATACCTTTTCCAAACTCGAGGACAATATGGCCTAGGGAAGTGCGTGACCTAGATGCCCACACTCGTGCTTGGCGCAAAATTGATGTTGATGGGCTAGTTTCTTTTTATGACTCAAATTCCTTTTGATATGAAATTTTAGCAACTATTTTATTTAATCGGGGTCGCTAAGGACAAGATGCACCACGTTTGAGTGCAAAGAAGATGTCTAGCATGAGAAAAAATGGTAATTAACATAAGAAGTTTGAAGAATCAATGCCCGATTTGAAGATTCGGGAAGAAGTTGACTTTTCATCTTTCTTTCATTGTTCTTAATTCCGGGTGATATCTATTGAATTCTTTTTGTGTAATCGACATATGAACAGGCTAGGTTAATTTTCTTTATGTATTGGAAGAAGATGGATCATTTTACTTACTTATTTTAAGGCAAGACTAGTAATTTAGTTAAATCACTGATAATCTTGCAAATTTAAATTTATTATTTGATTGTAGTACTGAAAAGCTCACAATAAATTTATAAAACACTGCAAGGTTAACACACAAACAATATACGTTAAGAATAACATGTGTGACTTCTGTAATCATATTGAAAATCGTGTATTTCAATGCGTTCTATTTCATATGAATTCGGACTAGAATATGACCGAATTATATCTAGAATAGACTTAATTTATTTTAGGATAAAAAGTTAAATACCATAGGATTATCGATTTTCAAGAATTGCAAGAATAAAATTGGATCATATGGTTAACAATTGAATTAGATAATCATAGACGGATCCGTAGTCCTATATACTCATTTCATATAAGTACACACCAAGACTTTTACATTATTTGTAGAAGAACATACTTTGAATCCAATATGACACTAGTACGCTTTGTTTAAAATTTATTTCTCGTGAGACGATATGCGTAATTCATTATGTATTATTTGTCAACTATCTCCTACGCTTGCGAAATTTATGTGAACATATGTACTCCTCCTAATATGGAAGTTATGTTTGGGTTCTCAAAAATTGGGAGATTCTCCTATTAGTATTATGAATAAATATTAGGGAAACTTGAACTTTCATTCTTAATCTTTATGAAATGCAATAAATCTATTTTTAACATTTTTAAGATATAATTCGTCATCAACCTTTTAATTATGCAGCAAAACTCATTATTCCCTCCATTTTAGTCATCAAACGGCATTTTTTTGTTTTACTGTTTTCTTTTATTTTTGTTTATTTGAAGAGAAGGGTAAATATGTCGTTTAATGATCAAAATGAAGGAAATAATGGCATTTGCTACATAATTGAAATGTTTGGAGATGAATTATATTAAAAACAGGCTGAGAAAGAGTAAATTTGTTACATTTTGTAAAGGTTGGAAACGAAAAATACTATTTTTTGTAAATATTAATTGTTAAATAAAATTTTAAAACTCCAGTAAATATGATAGAGGAGCAGTACGTATGCATAAAAAATTTGGAAAATTAGCGCTGTGGTACTAATTTACTCCACGCTCTAACTCTAATTCTTAATTTGTTGTCCATATCATTAATTGGACTCTGATAAATCTGTGGGCTCAGTCTTCACCTTTGGCTAGTAGACTTGGGCCCATCTTTTGAGTTTTGGGGTTTTGAATTGATTTGATAGCGTCCTTTGAGTGCAGACAGGTCTTAACATAAGTCATTCCAAGAATCAATCAACGTGCGGAGAGATTTTTTTACAGAAGTATTATATATTACACACAACAGTAGGATGGGTGTTTATTTTATGCTATAAAATATTCACATGAGATCCATCCCAATATGAGGACCCTGTAGAACTTCTGTGAATTTATTCCTTGTACACGGGGAATAATATGGCATTCCAGATGGAGTCGACACACCCAATTTTAAGATGAGGCATTTTCAAGAATGTCTAATTATAAGGGTTGGAGTTGAAAAGTGTACTTTTTTTATAATCTTTGCAAAAATGTCCAATTTTTAGATCAAAATGTCTACTTTACCCTCATGAAAAGATTAATCAATTTTATATCACTTTGGCACAATTTTTAAGAAGAGCATATAACTTCTACGAGAAGGCACAATAATGTTGCTATTACCTAGGTGAGTCCACTTGCTTATATTTTTAATTATATTTTAATCAATTTTTCTAGAACAAATGAAGAAGAAGCAAAAATTCCATTACCATATACGAAGAAGTATATGATTTCAATTTCAAAGAAATTATTTTAAGAAATTTACTGTGGTAGAAATTTGAAGCTGATTAGGCTTTCGTCATTTGTCGGTAGAAGGTATATTTCTTTGAACTCTATTTCTTCGAACTCTCATTTTTTTTTATAAGTTTTATTTAGTAGTTGCTGTTGTATATGTTCAAATCTCAATTTTTTGATATAAAGTATTTTTTTCCCTTGGATGAAATTATCCTGAGTATATATTTTTCGTACCATTCATCTTAAATAACTTAGTTAGATAATATACTTCTATATTTAGAATATTATTTATGGTGGAATAAATTCTTGCAAAAATGGTGGTTGAAGTTGAAGAAGATGATAAATGCATGAAATCCCGTCATTTCATTCTCGACATTTTATAAGTGTCAATAATGATTATAAACGTCGAGAATGATATTTATACTATCATTCTCGACACTGTTAAATGTTGACAATAACATTAAAAATTTGAGTAAGTTGGTAAATTTTTGTGTAGAGTGATTCACATATTGCATGCAAGTAGCATTTTCGTTTTCGATTTTCATTAGTGGTTGACAGTATTGTTGTTTATGACATGCAGATATGGGAGATGTTAAGAGATTTGTTGTCTCGTATGGTGGTAGATTCGTCAACATAGACGACGGGTGGAAGTGGTTAGGGAACCGAACAACATCAATTGTTGTTCGACATGATATTACATATGAAGAGCTTGTACATAAATTATTCGAGAAGCTGAATGTTGATAGAATGAAGTTCCGAATTCAATTGAAATTTACAGTTCCAAACATGAATATACCCCCAGCTGATGTAGCCGACGATGAGGATTTGCAATGGTTTATGTCTGTTCACACAGAAGCGGCGTTGTGTGTAATTGCAGATGAATATAATGCTGGAGAGCACGAACTGCATGTCGGAGTTGAGCATTTGTCACCAATAGAAGATGCATTGTGTGGACGCGATGAAGTCAGTATGTGCGAACTACAAGAGCCACAAACGATTGATAATATGGATGAAAGTTTAGGTGAAGGCAATTTGTTTATTCGAAATGCAATTGAGTCGATTGATGAAGAAGACATTGTGGAGAATCAGATATTCTTTAGCAAACGACAGTTATACACAAGGCTTCAACTTAAGGCTTTGAAAGAGAAGTTTCATTTCAAGGTTAAAAAGTCGAATCCTAGATCTCTTACTGTTTGTTGTGTCGATACTACATGTCATTGGCTAGTACGAGCTTCTAAGATAAAAACTTCAGAAATCTTTACGATTCGAGAGTACATACCTGAGCATACATGTTCTCTAGACGTTCGACAAAATGTACAAATTCACGCAACGAGTGCAATAATTGGGCATCACATAATGCGAAGGTTGGACGATACAAACCAATCATACGTTCCTGCGGGTATTATTGGGGATATGGAACGTGAGTTTGGTGTACGGATTACCTACAACAAAGTGTGGAGGGCTAAAGAGAAGGGACTTCGATTTCTTCGTGGTACACCCGAAGAAAGTTTCCAAAAATTGCCATCATATTGTCACATGTTAACCGAGAAAAATCCAGGAACTATTGCACACATTGAACTCGACTCGAATAATAGGTTCTTGTACTTCTTCTTAGCGTTCGGGCCTAATGTACGTGGTTTTCAAGAATACATGAGGCCAGTAATTTGTGTTGATGGAAGTCATTTGAAGGGCCAATATAAGGGAACACTACTAGTAGCTGCAGCGGAAGATGCTAACCTACAAATATATCCTCTTGCGTGGAGTGTTGTCGATGGGGAAACAAATGCATCGTGGTATTGGTTCTTTGCAAAGTTGAAAGATGTCATTGATGATTCAAACCAGCTAGTATTTGTGTCGGACAAGAAGAAGAGTATTAAGCGGGCAATTACGAGGTTGTTCCCACTTTCTCACCACGATGCCTACATCTGGCATATCGAGAAAAATCTTATTGCAAGGTATAGCAGTAGCAATATCATCTTCTTATTGAAGCGGGCAGCGCTAGCATACCGCGTATCGGAATTTGATCAGTTTATGACACAGATAAGAACCATTCCACCGTCAATGGCATCTTACTTGGAACATGCCAGTATATCCACCTGGTCACGGGCACATTTTGTTGGTAATCGGTACAACGTTATGACGAATAACATTGCGGAGTCACTGAATTCATTCCTAAGGCGACAAAGAAGTTTCCCTATAACCTCTTTAATCGAAAATATTACGTCATTGATGCAACGATGGTTCTACGAGAGAAAAAGTGCATCTACGAAATGTAGTACGACTGTGACACCAAAAATTGATGATGAATTGAGAAAATCATTCGACGCCGGTGCAACTTTACCAGTACGAAATTTGGACGAACTCGTTTTTGAGATAGGTATAGCTACCAAACTTTGTACTGTTGACCTTATAGGTAACACATGTTCATGTCGAGAGTTTCAGATGCGACAAATCTCATGTTCACATGCATCCCGAGCTGCTTGCGTAAAAGAAAAATCATTGTATGATTTGTACTCCTCTTACTACACCACAGAATATTGGCGAGCTGCGTACAATGAAGTACTTCACCCCGTTGGCCGAGAGTCAGATTGGGTTGTTCCTCAGTCTATTCGTTCCGTCGAAGTTTTGCCCCCGAATATACGTAGAGCACCAGGTCGACCTCCTACCCAACGTCAACGGTCAAGAACTGAAAGGTCGACGTTGAGACGAAAATGCGGCCGATGTGGGGGTTCTGGACATAACAGGCAAACATGTCAGAATTCGACATCTTTAAGTGACACGTATATTTGAATGACATTGTGTATTCTGATCGTCAAATGCCCTGATAACATGAATTATCAATGTTTTGAATTTTTTTCTTTTGTATTATTTGCTTTCTACCTCTTATTTTAAATGTTGTTGAATATATTTTTGACTTCTACTTCTTTCTGTTTCTTTCTTCGTTCTCTCTTGATATCACTTATTTGCAATTGCTTATTGTAAAATTAAATTTGTAATATATTTTGAATCCTTTATATGGATTCCTCCAATTTTTTGTGATTTTTCTCTTATATTATTCTAGTCGTTCAAAATTTTATAGCGCACAAACAGGAAAATTCGTATGGGCATTCACTAAATACAAACAACACTTCATTTTTGAATGTCAGACTGGATACAAATAAGAGATGCCAGGCTTAGGGTATAACTACCAACAAGGGAAATGGTGCTTACATATATTCTTATGAACATTTCACTACGATATCATTTTGTTCATCATATAAGTGAATAAGTACATATCTATTTCATCACTGGGATTTTCTTAATCATTGTAGACACAATGTGGTAATGGATACAAAAGCAACTCATGAATGACTCGTTCTCCTAAGTCATTGGAGCAGACAAAATGGTAATCACAACAAAAGGAAGCCATAACTCCAATACATATCGTAGACAACTATTATACAAAATGGTGATCACCCAAAAAATTATCCATCGCCTATATGGATTTTATAGCACTACTATATATACGTAAACATTTCACTTACGATGACTGCATCTTCTACATATCCTCCACGACGGACAAAGAGGACATATCACTGTCGTACTCCTCGTCGGAACTTATGATGATCACATCTTCATTTTCGACGGGAACTGCTCCAACATTTTCATCCAACAACACATGATGTGCTTCCGGTTGGACCGGTACTGGGACGATCTCACGATGAACTTGAATTGGTTCAATTTCGTCGATTAGATTCGGAAAAGGGATTGGTTGAAAGCAAACCCTACGATGACAGTTCGAAGGTTGACGAACATATGGAACAAAAATATTGCTTTCATCATCCGAGTCCGAGTCAATGATGAACCGGTTGTCCGCGGACGACCCAGGGGGGTCGAAAGTGATAGTAACATCAAGAACAGGAGTATGTTGAGTTGATGAAGACATAATCAATGGAAAAACTAACTAGTGCTATGACTTTGTTAAATTCTCGTATGTACATATTTAAGTAAAGTCCAATATTTTATACTGGAGAAACACTTGTCCGTTGAATGCACGATAAGATATCTCACCAACCAATATGGTTGAAGTCATTGATGGTGATTATTTTACAACTTTTTTTCACATCAATATGGTTGAGAACGTACTTGTGCTTGGCATACCAACTTTAACTGCTATAGTAATTATAAAGCTGCTTGCTACAGTTTTCGCAGTTAATACACCATTTGGTTGCCTTCACTTTAAGTTAAATTTGGTTGGATCATATTTATGTTGACATTTGATGCCTTCTCGACATTTGTAATGTCATTATCAACATTAAATAGTTGTTAATCTCGACACTTGACATTACGAATGTCTAGAACGACACTTGGACCAAAATACGATATTTCTCTACATTTCTTCGATTTTCGGACGTTTGATATGTCGTTCTCGACATTACATAGCCGTGAATCTCGACACTTGATATTTCATTTGTCTAGAATGACACTTCGAGAACATATTACATACCACCATATAAATCGAAATATGCAAATCACTGTGTAAACCAAAATACATTTTACGTGCCACCACATAAAACCAAAATTCATGTTATGTACCACCACATAAAGCAAAATACATATTGCAAAAGGCGGTATCATGAACCGACTGATCATCAACAGTTACACAAGCAAAGTACAGCTAAGCCACGACAACTGTTTCACTATCGGGGATAAAGAAAGTATTCGTTATTCAAAAAATCGACCGCAATCTTTCTTCTGTATATTGACATTCTCTCTGCTGAAACTGATTCTATTGGATGCCCAAGAACGAAGCATTCTATATACTTGAGTACAAACATTATGTAATTTGGCCTGTACAATAAATGATTTTTCGTTAGTCGAAATTAGTATATACAATAGATTAACTACGGTAGTAAATAACAAGAGTTGAAATGCTCACCCATTGTTCGCACACGGTAGATAAGGTATAATCTCCATCTTCATTCGATCATCTATATGTTTCTTTATATCTCGTCTGGTGGACAGGGGTTCACACTGCAATAATGTTTGAACGACTGTGCATGTTGCTTTTGTGTGAGCCTTGATTGTATCAGGTGTGTGAACATTATTGCTACAGTCGTATATGTAGAATTTCCATTCACGAATATTGACCAGAAACAGATAACATTCATTGCCTGGATATGCACTTGGAATTAATAAATACTTGCATCCCATCCACGAACGACCAACTACAGGCAATGTACCGTTGACATAGCCTTGTAGGCGAGTTCCATCTAATTCACTTGTCTGGTTATATTCCATGTGCCACCTCATTTGCTGACAACACTCCTCTTCAAATTGAAAATCCAAAATTGCATATTTTTTATTGACGAGAGTACAATCTTCATTCATACGCTGCCTCAATAACTTCAGCTTCAGCTCAATATGCTAATACAATAAATATATGTAACATATATTATACATATTAACTACGAAATTAAATTTATTGTGATTGCAAACCTTCACTCACCGTAATATTCAGATCCTTTGTCGGATCCATTAAACTTTTTAGCATGTCTCTTCCATAGACATTGCCATGGCCATCGTCCAAATATGCACTGTATAACATAATTTAAATTACTGTCAAATAATTCAACAAATAATTTTTCACATAGATATAATAATGTGTAGCATTCGGACTATTCAAAATGAGTTACATTTGTTACCCAGATTGATTTCTCGATATCCAATTCCTAATGTCTTTGTACTTGTTCATGTCGTAGTCTTCTAAGGGACGGCCTGTGGATGATAAAGCCTGTGTGTATTTCATCTTCTTTTGCCTTTCTCTTCTCCGCATGTCAACACTTTCTGCTGGTTGAGACGTTGATGTCTCATGCGGTTGAACAGTAGGAGTTGGACTTGCATGGAGAGAAACATCCTGCTGCATGGAACCTATAATGGCTTCCATGTTGGATTCCCAGTTAGATAATCTGTTTAGCATATTCTCATTCTTTTCGTCAATGTAAGATCTGACAAAACATAAACTTGTATCAATATAAGACTATATGTGCTCCTGTTGCTGCTCGAACAATTCTTCTTATTTTCGAAGAATCGCCTGATAATGGGCTTCTTGTTGTTGCGATTCCTGGGCCATATGAGTGCTAAACATATTTGATAGAGAATTATCCATGTATGACTGCATACCACATAGCATGTAATCTTGCATCGATTTGTTATGTTGTTCGAACGGTTGCTTTTGGCTTTCAAGGATATCCTGGTTCAGGGCTCTGGATTCTTCAACAAATTCTGCCTTCAAGTTGCCACACAGACTGGACACATCTGATATCGTATGTTGCCTGTACATACCCAACATTTCTTCCATCGATCTTCAGTTACATATCTGGAGGCACCAGAAGCAGAACTAGGCCCAACTCCAGTTGAAGTTCTCGATGTGCCACGACTGGTCGTTTCTTGCACACGGATGTTATCCGATATTTGTGGTACTACATTATCTACTTCTCCAGTGACAATGGTATCTAATATATTATGTTCATCGTCAGCCGGCAGAGAAAGATTTGTGTACCAAAGTGTTTGTAATTCTTCCTCTGTAGGCTGCAACACTGGAATGACTTCGATCTGTAATCATAACAAACTATCAGAATCCATTTGTTTAATTGAACTTATTAATAATAAAATGCGAATGTCATTGTACATTGAAAATAAAAAATTCATACATCTTGAGTATCCAAAAATTGCTTAACAACCGATTCCTTCAGTATAGTATTAGGCCTCCAATTATAGATTCGTGGAATCTGCACCATTCTGTGTTTACGGCGACCAAACTTTTGTCCAATTTGTGGAAACGCTTCATATATCCAATACTGTAACGTAAAAAAAGAGAAATGTGATGTATAAATTTTATTTTTTGTACAAAGAAATTATACATAATACGTAAGTAATTAGAATAGGAACATAATACCTAAAATGCGAGTGGATAACCTTGTAATGCATACTTACATTCTGTCTGTCCACTCTGTTGCATCCTTATTATTCTTTCCAATTGTGACTCTTTCAAAGAATTTAACAAAACGAAATATGCTATTCGGCCACACGAATATGTAAGGAACTCATCCAGATGTTCAACCATGTCCAGAGTTCTATAATCAACTTGTCGTGAAGTCGGTTTCAACACACACTCAACCAACATAACTAATCCCAACTTAAATTTATCTTTTGTATCTTCACACATGTGGAAAGTTTCAAAAAGCATCCTATTGCTAATTTTTTTTGTGCCATTGAAGTATTGATTTCTAAGACGATGGTTATTATAATCAATTTCTACGGATGGTTCATGGAAAGGTAGTCCAGTAATGATGCAAAATTCTTGCAAGCCAAACCTAGTAAGATGGTCATCTAACCGAACCCAAACTTCATTGTTTTTGCCACAATGCACAAGTCTCATTATAAATTCATGTACCAACTTACTAGTAAATTGTTCTTCGTCTCCTTTGAAAACAGCTCCATATATAAATCCATAAAAATTACTACACATCAAATAACATTGTTGATTTGCATCTATGAAATTTATAAAATCTTGAACGTATTGACGATTTGGATACTGAAGGATGGTAGCAGAAAACTATTGTTCCAGAGAGAGAACGTATTCTAAAGACATCTGCATCAATTATACAAGAATTAATACTTTTAAGGAACTGTAATAATTTTTTCAAGAATTTATATTTTCATTTGATTGTACACATCTATTATAGTAAAACAAATTACTGTTAATTGTACAATTAATTATTTAAGAATTAATATTTCCAAACAAATATAATTTTTTTCACGTCTTTATACTAAACAAAATTAAAATCAAAAATTAATATTTTAAACAAAATGTGATATTTTTGTTTATAAAACATATTACCAAAAAAAAAATATTCTACTAGAGAGTTGCTCCGTGACACTCTCGAAGTGTCACGGAGACAGTGACACTCCGTGTCACGGAGAGCAGCATGGAGATGCTGCTCTTCGTGACACGGAGATCAAGTTTTTTCGAGTAAATTGTAGTTGAAAAATATTTTTCTTTCAAGATATTCAACTAACTGCTAAGTAGCACAAATATTAAATACAAATTTTGAATTACTTACCTTTTCTGACCAAATTAGCGTCTTTTTTGAGTGAATGTGGAAAATGTTTCCGGCTAAATGAATGTGAGAATGAAACTTGAATTAAAATGTGTAGAGAGTGAGTGAATTTGACAAATAATTGTAGCTAAATGTGTGGATGGGGGAGTGAATGAGCTAAAATTAATTAAAACGTATGAAGAGTGAGTGAATGTGAGGATAATGAGTGAACGAGAAAAAGTAAATTTCATAACCATTTTGTTGTGTTACAATAATTGATCATAAGCAAATTTTTTTGTTCTAGTTCTCACTCTGTTTTGGGGACCCTCCTTCACTATCTTTCCCTTTGTTTCCATATATATATATATATATATATATATATCAGTGGTTTCTTTAAATTTTATTGTGTTGTAATTTGACAAATTATAAATTTCTTTTTAATTCATTTTGTTCCATTAAAATTTTATATTCACAAAAAAAAATATATTATCGTTTTGTACAATTCAAATTTTATATTGAAAAAAAAATGTTCGATAAATTTCTTTAATTTATTAAAACTGATCGAGTTAATCAATTTTTCCTCACTAACTGCTAAGTAGCACGAAGTTTATTTTATTTCCACATACATGATTACACAAAATGACACATATGTTCACATATTATTGAAAACAAAAATATAAGGGACGTTAACATTTATATTGAAACAATATATTTCTTGACATTTCACTCATTTCTTGACATTTGACGTGTTGTTCTCGACATTAAATGTCTGCTAATCTGGACACTTGACAGTACATTTATATAGAACGACATTTCAACTAAAGTATAGGATTTTTCCACATTTCATTAGAACATTGACATCTCCTACTCCACTATATGAGATAATAAAGTTATAAACTATTTTCAACCACCGGTTTACATCCACAAAATATTACATACCACCATATAAACAAAAATATGCAAACCACTGTCTAAACCAAAATACATTTTCCGTACCACGACATAAACCAAAATACATATTGAAAAACCACCATATAAATCAAAATAGGTAGACCTCTAAATTCTACGCATCCCTCTTACCCCTCTTGTGACCAGATCATGTGTATGACGTCTTTGTGTTTACACTAGCGTTCTTCAGCCTCAACGATCAAGGTCTATGTGTAGGTGGATCAGCTGCCATCGAAGGTCCAAAAATGATGCTATCATGAACTAGTTGATCATCAATGGTCACACCAACTGTAGGTACAACGGCTGGTGCCTCTTTCACAATATCACAAGCAATATATACTGACCCAAGTACTCCAACCCCACCTCCTGACGTTATGGACACATCAGGGATATTGCAAACAATTGGTTCGGTTGCCTCTCCGACATCCTGTCTGTCTGCAGAATTATTGGGAGTGCAAACATCATATCGGGGCTCGTCTCCACTGCGGTCGTCATGACCAAATCCACCACACTCAGCACCAACATTGTGTTGTCCAATTTCTGTAGCAACTTCATCAAACCTTCGTCGAAGAACATTCATCTCATCAGTGACATGATTTCTCAAACCACACACATGACCTCCCAGATCATTTTGGAGACTAGCGAATCTTGTGTTTATTTCTTTCCTCAAATCCCCCATCTTGCTCTCAAATGCCTCCCATTGCTCATTCAAGATAACTCTTATCTCATTTAAAGACACGTGTCTTTCAACGATGGGATCCCCATACTCTTCTTCTCTGCCTTCAACCAGATGCAAACCTCGATGACGAGGTCCACCTTTGTTGACTCTCTGGGATTTATTTGGTCGATGGTTGTTGTCATCGTTCCGTATGACATCATCGTCAACTGGACAAGCTTGTATTTCTATTGATTGAGCAACAAGATCATCTAAAACGGGGTCGGCTGCGTCTTCCAACGGAACTAGATCGACGAAGTACGGCTGTAATTCTTCTGCAGCAGTTGCCCACAGCGTAGCCCACAGGTACACCTACAGGAGAAGAAAAATAGGCGAAATGAAAAAAAATATATTGCGTAGTGTAAGGCAATTAAGTATGTAAATCGCCTACATTTGTCTTCTCAAAAAAATCTGAATATGTTCGGGAATGAGGTTGTTTCATGCCAGACCACCGCAACATCCTCGGGACATCGTCACAAGTCTTACTCGAGAATCGAGCTCCCAACTCCGGAATTGCCTCGTACGTCCAAATCTGCATGACATTTGTAACAGTAATAACCATATTTGGAGATAAATAACAATGAGCAATGAGAAGAACTGAAATGAACCAAAATAGATGTATACCTGGACAGCAAGAGGGAATCCGTACAATGTGTAAGTCATCCTATCACAATCATTCACTTTTACCATGTCCGCCTTTCTTCCCCATCCACGTAGTAGTGATTTGATGAGAAGTTGAAAACATACTGTCCCCCATGGGTAGGCATTGAAAAAATCCAAGTCGTCAACGATGGAAAGAGTTGTCGAATTTATTCCTACATTTCGATCTCTTGAATTAAATACCCCTTCAATAATTAGTGCCAACCCAAGCTTGTAACGATCGTTACGGTTGGCACATTTCAAAAAAGCTTTCTCCAGGTCGCTACACGTTATCTGGTCCATATTAGCAAACATTTTATCTTGTAGATGAGTTTTCTCTAGGATTTTGTCAACTTCGGCACCTTTAGGCACTGGACTGCACTTCAAGCCAGTAATTAGTGCGAACTCCGGTAGTCCAAATCGTGCAAACCTTTGGTTCACCTTGAACCAAGCCTCAAACCGCTTTCGACATACCACCGATCTGTTTACCATTTCATGAATTAATTGAGCAGATAGTTTCAGCTCCGGTAACCTTGCAACATGTCCTATACAACTGTCCTCCAACTGACGCTTTTGCTGTGGATCCAATTTGTTGATGACAACTGATATATATTTTGTATTGCTCACTTGCGACATATGGGCCGGAACACGTTTTTCCTCCGGAATATTATATCAGTGTGTCATACTCATCTACAAATGAAAACAATACTTTAACAAATACTATGAGAACGTACAAATGAAATCAAATATAACATTCTTGTTAAAATGCAGTGCAAGAAAAATAATTTTTACAATACAATTGTTTAATAAAATATCATATCTAAATTAAGTTGTTCAATTGTTGAAATTAAAACAAACCTGACTTCTGATCTGAAGCTATCATGTAACCATTTTATAGTTGATC